CACACACAAACATACTCACACCATAGGTTATCCCAATGTGCGTTTTGCGTTTGCATATACGCAAAACGCATAAAAAACGACTGACTGGTCACGACTTGTTTAACACACGGATCTCGCAAGTTTGCAGTTTTGCTTCTCTACTTAGTCCAGCGTTGATTTTGCAAAGCAAAGGGTACTGTGCTGTTTCGAATCACTCTAACAACTGAGCCTATAAATGGGGCACTGGCCACAAGCTATGGCTGAAATCTTCTTGTAACTATATGTTTGACTGTTGATCATGTACGGCGTTGTGCTGTGTTCCGCATATTGATCACCGGACTTTATCACTGGTCCACCATCAATCGGAATCAAACCCTCTTCGTCTGTATCGCCCTCAACCAGCATGTACATGTCACATGCGTCTGAAATACAATATATGCAAATTATTGGCATAGTGAAACTGCAAGTTTTGACACTTACTCGGTCGAGTGATTTTTGTGAAATAGTGCGCATCTAGATGCACTCTAAAGAGTATCGCTTGGTGGGATATTTTATCACATAAGCACACAAAAAAAAAGCTCTAGGCTGGAACATACTTGGTTGCCGGTGCAGTCATGCGTTTTTGCATTAAACTTTAAATAGCCAGGTCGCAAACTGTATGAATAGTTCTTGCTTTACACTTACCTTGTGCGCTCAGTATAAATGATCACAAATTTTGCGTAAAGTAAAATGAGCAATTTTCGTCGAACGGTCATTCTTTGAAAATGAACTAACCGTTCAGTGAGTAAATTTCCCGCCACAACTTTTGACTGCTCGTACTTTAAAACAGTGTATACTTGGGAGCAAAATTTTGCGTAAAGGAAAATGAGCAATTTTCGTCGAACGGTCATTCAATGTATGCGAGCATACGCGAGGCTCAGACGTGCGCGGTTGGTACCGCGTTCCTGGGGTGGTACTTGCCCGGAAAGCCACTGGCAAAATTTTAACGCCGAAGATTACTTGGTTGCCGAATCCGCAATACCAGGATAGATGCACACGCACAATACACCACGGTTCGCCAAAATATGCGCTTTTGCATTTGCATATATGCAAAAACGCATAAAAACCACTGCCAGCCCTGTCAACGGAGATTGCTGCTGGCAAAGCAATTAACCATTCATGTTGGCAATAATCTAATACAACTCACAGTGTCCCTCCTTCTTTCCCAGAAAACGGATGTGGAGGGTTTTCAACATTGAGCAACAAAATTATTTTCTTCTTTACTTTTTTAAATTTTTATCTGTAATTGGCATGGAGTTTTGACGGGAGCGCGTGAAGACGAGCCGAGAAATAAACGGGTAAGCAAATGCGGCAATTTCAAGAAGAATTGCTCAAGCCCGTACCTTTTTGTTTTGTGTTAATTGTTTATGGATCTCACGTCCACATATTCTCGCTCCGGTCACCTACATAAATAATACAACTTGTGTCGCTGTTTCAGTGTTAGTGTTCGTTTGATCAACTACTAAAAATCGGCTCAGCTCGGCTCGGCTGTTATTCTAGTTTTTTTCCAATACTATTTCGCGACGCCCTTTGGCGACACCGCTTGGCAGTTTGCCAGGAGTGCTTGGTAGCCCTACCTAACACATTACGGTTGAAACACGTGGTTGGAGGTGCAAGGTGAAGGGGTTGGTGTAATTGGGACGTGATGATGAATGGGTGCTCAGATGCAGCTTCGGGGGCTTGGTTTAAGGCAAGACAGAAGAGAGAAACAGACGCGCTGGTGAGGAACTTTAAACGATTAATGATGACAGTAGTTGGGGAGTGGTGGGTGCCCAGATGCCGCTATGGAAGCAGGATTCGGGGACAGGATAAAGAAGAAGAGCAACGGCGCTAGTCAGGAGTTCGAGGCAAGAACTGGAGACGGTAATAAAGAGGAGGGACAACACAGCAGAAAAAGAAAAGTAATAAAAGAAAAAGAGGAAAAAAGCGAGATCAAAGGGTCGGAACCAATGAATAAACGCCGAAGAAAGCAAAGCAAATAAAAATTGAGAAAGCGAAAGCAGAAAACAAATAAAAACACAACAAAAGTAAAAACTTGTGGGTGAAAATTGCCTTATAAGAGCCCGCCTACAGAAGTGGACTTGCCTTTTTATGAAATTGATGCTTAGGTAAAACTGAGA